CCAAACATTTGCATTTCCATACTTTCTTAAGCACTCATCATAGAAAACATAAACTTGTGTAATTAGTCTACTCTCATGATTCCCTCGAAGAATAGTGATACATTCATTACAGTGAACCATAAGAGCTACAAGCAGTGTAACTGTTTCAATTGAATGATATCTTCTCAACATAATCTCCCATAAACAAATAATTTGTATCTGGTGATTTGCCACCAATTCTAAACAGTTGCATGAGATCATGATATTGCCCACTTACATCTCTACAGGAGATGGACATCAACCCTCTTGCATGTTGGATTCTTTTGCCAGGGTTTCTTTAGCCTTCTCACACAGGCTCTTGACCTGACATTAGAACAGCTGCTTGCACTCATTCAGCTGCTCATCCCACTGGTCCAGCTCGTTGGTAAACACCTTCTTGTCCACGATGCCACCAAACTGAACTGGCTGCCACTCCACACTACTCCAGCACCACCTCCTGCACATGGGCCACACACACATGCCACCACCAGTTCCTGGGGTAATTCTGTGGTCCCTGATGATTTCTGGGCACCACATTGGCTCACTGGCTCTTCCTGAGGTGCTCGGCCATGGGCAGCTCTGCCTCCTCCTCAGCTTGCCCTAGCTATGAGCTTTGCTTTAAATCTCTCTTCCTGTCTAAATAGAACACAGCATGTACCATTTGCTCCTTATTCCTACCTCCCTTGAACACTCCAGTCTCATAGTTTAGCCAAAAGATTGGATGGGATGCAATGAAAGAATTAGCCCATTCACAAAGGAATTCAACAAGGTATCTCCAAAATCTTGATTTTTTTTTTGGTTATATTTGGGAAACATTTGGTATACAGCCTACAATCTTCTATGAACTCAATACAGATTTTTTAAAAAAATACTACATGTTAATTTCTGTAAAAATTCCAAGTGCTGTACTTTGAATTGACAAATCCTAGACATTTTATACACACTCAGGGTGCTCATCTTGCCCTTTCCACTATCTGTAGTTAGAATTCTGCTAAATGTATGCTGGTTACACAAAGATCTTTGTAAACATTTTGTGGTGTTTACCCCACAAAGGTCTCTACCAACAAATGGTGACAACCAATGCCAGTGCTAACTGGCAATAGCTCTTAAAAAAAAGTTCTTCAATTAACATAGATTTCAAATATGTAATGAGAAAGACATGTCAAGCTCAGAGCGTGTGCTTCTTGCTTATTTGTGGGTGGCTGTTAGTGAGTAGGAAAAGGACCGAAGCTGTAAATGCAGCTTGTCAACCACAACAACGTGCCTCCTTGAGTTTTGGTTGATCAGGACCTGAGAAGGTAATAATTTAACTACATTTTATATAAACATAACTGCATATTTGCAAGCTTTGCTTCAAGACTGTTTTGTTTTGTTTTTTTTTTTATTTGTGGAACCGGGGATTGAACTCAGGCCCTTGCGCTTATCAGAGAAGCGCCCACTCCACTGAGCCATCTCCCCAGCCCCCTCAAGACTGTTTTTATATGTACTTTTATTTTTTGCATTTTAGTTCAGGGTTTACAGGGCCTACAGGGCCTCACTACTAGATAGGACTCACAGTGATCCTCCTGTTTTCAGCCTCCCAAGCTCTGGGATTACAGGCAGCATGCCATCTCAATTGCAGTCTCAGCGCACGCCAGAGGCAGGGCTGGCGCTGCATGGTGGGGATGGAGTCCTGGCCACTGCATCTGCCTGAGCAGGCATTTGAATCTGCAGAGCTTTTGGGGCGGCCCTTGCTTCAAGACTTACGCTCCCCCAGCTGATCAAAAATTACCAGTAAATGTTTGCCCAGTCTATTATAGTAATTTAATTAAGCAAATACATCAGAATTATATGGGACTATGGGCATGAAATTCACCAGGTATAATAAATTCTGAAGAACCAGTCATTACAGATTTCCAGGGGTGTGCTAATAATATATGCAAGGCAGAAGACAAAAGGATTAAGAATTTTTGCTCTCATGCTGCTGAGCTATCAAACCAGTCAATCCTCCTTTTTAAAGAAACAGCAACTATTCAGTTTTTGTTTGTTTGTTCATTTGTTTGTTTTACTGTATTTAGTACAGGGTCTACAGGGTCTCACTACACAGGTTGAACTTGTAGTGATCCTCCTGTTTTCAGCCTCCCAAGCGCTGGGATTACAGGCACCTGCCACCACACCCAGTTTAGTCACTCTGTCAGTGAGCCCTGGGGGCAGGACCAGCATGGCGTGCAGGGGACTGAGCCCGGTCCCTGGGCCTACGTAGCAGGCATGCTAGTCTACTGAGCTATCTGGCTGGCCCTATCTAGTCTTAAAGCCTCAATTTTGATAAGATTTGTCTCCAGATAATTCTTTATTTCATTTTTCACACAGATTGGGTGGGGTGTACCAACAGATTACATCAGTAAGCTGAATTACTATTACATAGTATCTGCTGTCTTTATCATGTTGTACAATTGTTTCCCACAATAAGTCTATAGTCTCTAAGTCTGTAAGTCTTTTGTAGATGCTTTATTTGTCAAAATATTATGAGAATTATATAAAATGTATTGGTCATATAATCTCCACAAGAATTAGGTGAATAACATTTACAAAAATCACTCTTTCGAGTTATGCAGAACATTTTCAGTTACTGCAGGTTTTTATTTTTATTTTTAATTATGAGCAGAGCGTTCACTGAGCAAACTTTCAATTAATTTTAGCATCCATTTTTGCCAACCTAGGAACTAAAACATTTTGGATTCTCACTGGACTCCTTTGTTTCTAATAATACCTTGGACACGGGAGGAGTAGCCTGTTGGTAAACAGCAGGTGCCCTGCAGGCCTGAGGCAGGTGCAAAGCATGGTTGATGAAGGAGATGGGCTCAGTGAGCAGCATCTTAGAATGGTGCATTTAAGAGCTGGAGGAGGTACACTGGTTTAAAATTACTGATCATAAGAAATAGTTCCTGCAAATGGTGTGTGGCATGTGCCCTCATGCCACATCATTTTGGTTGGTAAAGAGAAGCAGAGTTCTCCACGGGTACCTGAATCTCATGGAAATGTCTGGGCTAGAATGAATGGTTCAGTGGGATGCCTGTGCAATTTGCACCTCTTGCCTGAGGATGAGACGGAAGCCAAGAGGGAGCAGATGAGGGTATCAGCAGAGATAATAGATGGCTCAGCACATGTCCAAAGGAAGGGAGATGGAATATGCACTGCCTCAGAAAGAGTGAAATGCCCACTTTTCTGAGGTCCTGGATTCCTCAGAAGTGATATTTTCACTGAAATAGAGGAGCACTTTCTCTATTCCACGAGGCTAGAATTTGACTTAACTCCGGGGTGGGGGCAATAAAAATAAAATGCAAAATGCATCCCCTGATAGTTTTACTTTTTCAGATGTTTTGAATATTTATTTATTTTTTATTCATTTTAATGAGAAAAAAGATAAAACAGCAATGAAACAATTTCAAAACAGGTTAGTAGGACAGCTACAATAATTAATAAACTGCATATTGTTGTCTTCATAGTAGTTATTCAGAGGTATTGTCTAAGCAATATTTGTATAAACCTCTCTTCTCAATGAACTAAGAGAAAGTAGCTGTATATCTATCCTAACTATCTTGTATATACATATATACTTTTTTCTTTTATTTTTTTTTCTTTTCAACAAAACAGTCCTTTATTTATACTTTCGCAATGTTAGTAACACGTGATACAAGGTTGTCTAGCAACTAATAGCTGACTTTAACCAGAAAGGATGTTTATCTGAGGACTGAGGTAGCTTGTTTGCTCCAGGTACTGAGGCCTACCCCCACCTACACACAATTGATCAATTTCCTAGTTTGTGGCTCCAAACAAATCCCCCTTTTTTTTGTTCTGCTACAGATGGGTGTTCCATTGCAGTTAGAGAAGCTGCACTTAGAGAAGTCTTTAAAGGACCTTTTCATACTTGAAGCCAGTCCAAAGATTGTAGGCATTTAAGTTCAGCAAAATAACCCAATATAGTCCAAATACTCCAAATAGTAGTGAGTTATCAGCACAACTGGCAATTTTCAGAAGTTGCTGACTTGAGCCTTTTATAGCTCAGCATATTAATATTGCTTTACTTTTTATACCTCATGGTTATACTTTTCTGCTGGATGGTTAAGACCAAGTTAAAGCAAGACCCATATAACAAAATATGTAACTTTGGTATCTGACAAGGTCAGTTAAATCCCCTCAGGATTTACCCTGCAACCATGGATAGCACCTTCTAGATCCTTTGTCAGCATCAGCCATGTGAATGAGTCACGGCCATTGCTTGACCAATTTGCCTTCTGTGAAAGCCTGAGAGAATGTTTTTCTTTCTATGATTCTCCTTAGGTACATTAACATACCAATGAGTATAAAATTTCTTATCTTAATAAAGTACATGAAATTTTCATCTTAAGAGGATATTGATCCCATTTGTGGGAGATCCATTTGGATAATTATTGTTGAATTTCCATTCCCTTCAAAATTTGAGACAACAAAATCTACTTGTCCTTTATTATTCCAAAGGCAATACTAGCGCACAAGAAGGAAGATGTCTTCTCTATCCAAAAGAACCTTACAGACTCCGAGGAGAAGATTGTATGAATAGATGAAAACCACTAAACAATGATACATGTACTTAGCATAGAGCAGACAACTGGCTAATGTCTGGAATTTTGCTGTAGTCTAATAACCAAGGTGAAGCACATTTGATCATCTAGTCATCATAGACAGTGATACGTGTGCCTGGTACTGTCTACTCTTCAGGGTAACCTTGTAGTTATTGTTCCCAGAAACTACTGCCCTTTGATAGGTTTCTTTCAGCCCTTGAGCCTTCCCTGAACTTCTCTCCTCGCCTAACACCCAGTTACTGCAAATCCAGCTTATCTGCAATTCCACTTTATCTGCAAAAGGTAACTAATTTGTATTGTTATGAAAAAAGTTGTATCAAAAGTTAGGTCAGAGTCCACAGTGCTGTTCAGTCTGCCTCTTATAAGGCTGTGCCTTCGTATGACTCACTAACTCAGAGCCCAGATTTTCTCATCTTTGGAGAGCAGTGATCACAGCTATTGTGCAGGTTTTGTTGGCAGAGTGTTCTGGGCCTACCTGGAGTGGTAAGTCTTGAGCCCCTTAGCATGGTTTGAAACTTAGGATATGCTTGTTTGCATAGAAATGCAATTTCTTTGTTGGTTTGTGTGGGCAAGAGCAAGCAAAATGCAGATTATAGCTATTATTTCATTTTATTTGTGAAGTGTCATGAAGCCTTGGGAAATATAGGTTATATAAATAATGGGAAGGTAATGTTATTTTCTTTATAAGGTTATTACAAGGATTAATCACCAGCCACAGAATCTTAACATTACCAAATGTTTCTTAAATCTATTTCGCAACTAAAATGATTAAGAAAAACATAAACTTTCATTGATAGTAAAAATACAAGGCTTAAGATAAAGAGAAATAATCTGGGGTTTGTCTTTCTAACCCAAGGTGGTGCCCACGTGTTCTGCATTCTTCCGAGCGGTCTCGCTAGCTGGCAACTCTTGGTGCCTTGAGCACCGGTTCCGTCCTTCACAGCACCTAATAAAGTGGCTCGTCGTACTAAAGTTCAATATAAATGTGCCAAATGAGAAATGAGCAAAATTATAATTAGAAGTGCAAAAGAGGAATGGCAATACCCTGTGCACTGAGGTCTTGTTGAGCAGCCTGCAGTGTGGAAATGCTAAGCTCATGGGGTGCAGCATTAATGAACAAACCACCGAGTGCTGAGTTCAGGAACAAGAAGAGACAATTATAGCTCTGCTGCTGGCGAGGCAGAATTTTCATCAACACAAGAGGCCTGAATAAAGCTGTGGAAATTTCCATTTAATAGAATCAACCTTGGAGAATCATAGGAGACAGGAGAATCTGTTCTTTGTCCCCAACAGAACAATTGTGTCCTAAAATAAGATTCTACTAGTCTTATGTAAAATTCTGTTTGCAAAGATTTGTTTATATTTGCAGGCCGCATGCCAGCACTCAGTAGAAAGATTAGACAGAGGCTGTGGACATTGAACTCTTGACTGGCTTCCTTTCATACCTAGTGGGATGTAATTTAACTTTAGTCTTGGCTAAGAATCAAAGGTGTGATTGGGATAAATGAGTGTCAGTTCAGGAACTTTCTTAAATGACTTCAGTTCTGAACTCAGTGGAGCTTGGACTCCCCTACAGATGTTTTGCCTTTCTGATACCTTTCATAGCACCTCTTTTGCTGTCTACCTATCACCGATGGTTTTGCTCTTTTTTTTTTTTTTTTTTTTTTAATGTATTTGGTACAGGGTCTTACTACCCAGCTCAAATGCATAGTGCTCCTCCTGTTTCTAGCCTCCCCAGTTCTGGGATTGCAGGAGTGAGCCACCAAGCCTGGACTTGGTGGGGAGCTCAGTGCACCGAGGGGTGGGGCCAGTGTGGCATGCCATACCAGGGATCGAGTCCCTGCGCTTGCTTATGCAGGTGCTTAGTCTGCGGAGTTACCTTGCCAGCCCTGCTGGATTTGCTCTTGGCATCCTCTTAGGGGGTCTCTCAGACACTTGAGGAAAAACTGACTGGAGATCCCAATTTTCAGTGATCTTTGCAATCCTTTGCAACTCTAAAAGTAAATACCTTTCTTTAATAATTATTTGTAGATTGGCAAGAGCTAGATCCCAGTAGCATCATTTTCCTAACTAATAGAAAAAAAAAGCTCAGCAAGAAATGACCTCTAGAAGTGAAAGCATTTGTCTGTTCAGAAACTCCATATGAGTTCAATCAAGATTATTAAGATGTATCTGTATGCACTGAGGTCCCCTGGAGAAGGGGGAGGACACGTACAGAACCCTCTTTGCCTCTTTGCCAGTTGCATGCTGGGGTTGCTGCTGAGCAGCAGGATGGAATTCTGCAGACAATTAAAATGACCACCTCCTGGAGTGATCAGTTACAGAATGCAGCAGAAATGCCTGCAAATATGGATTAGCATGCCCTAAAAATGCATCGGCGAGAAGCCCATCATCAGGTGTTTGTGAACCTAAGTTTAACCATGGAAAAAATAAGGTGTTTTGGTTTTTATATGGATTATATTCTTGCTGTGTACAAATCCCCATAGTATGAGACGCTTGGCTTTGAGCTGACTATGGAGAGACTTGTTTCTATTGGGTATCCCCAGGAACTGCTTAACTTCACGCATGATTCTATGTTTCCTACCAGAGGACTTGTCTTTGACACACTGTATGGAAATCTCTTGAGAGTTGATGCTTATGGCAACCTCTTGGTCTGTGCACATGGATTTGACTTCATAAGAGAGCCAGAAACTAGAGAGTAGTATCCAAACAAATTTATCCAGTGAGATGGCACTGAAAGATTTTATACTCTGAACACATTATTTAATCTTCTAGAGACCTACCTGCTGGCCTGCCTGGTAGATTTTTTTTTTTACTAGTTGACCTAGATATACCAGCTGTGAGACAGGATTTAAAGATGGGGACCTGTTCATGTCCTACCAGAGTATGTTCCAGGATGTAAGAGATGCTGTTGACTGGGCCCATTACAAGGGCTCCCTTAAGGAAAAGACACTTGAAAATCTTGAGAAATATGTAGTCAGATATGGAAAACTGCCTTTGCTTCTGAGCAGGATGAAGGAAGTAAGCAAAGTATTTCTTACTCCCAACAGCAACTACAAGTATACAGATAGAATTATGACTTATCTGTTTGACTTCCCACATGGCCCCAAGCCCAGGAGCGCCCATAAGCTGTGGCAGTCCTATTTTGACTTGATCTTAGTGGATGCATGGAAACCACTCCTCTTTGGAGAAGACATGGTACTATGGCAAGTGGACACTAAAGCTGGCAAGCTGAAGGTTGGCACCTACACAGGCCCCTGCAGCACGGCAGTGTCTACTTGGGTGGCTCATCTGATACAATCTAAATACAGAAAGAAAGAAAGAAAGAAATCTTTAAAGTGTCCTAGTGTTTGGGGAAATTATAAAAAGTTATACATGGTATGGTGTCAACTAGAAGAAAGATTCATTCTCAAATAGCAGTTATATATCCACAGCAGGCTGTTGCTTCACAAAAATGTTGTTATTCCCTTATACTGAAGTGTTTCTGGTTATTAATTTTTCTTTTCTTTCTCACTGTAACTCTGTCTGTCCACCTGTCACTTCCTTTTTCCTTAATTATTGTGCTCTCCTGGTCTTACTCAGTGACTTAGAGCAATAGTTGCGGCAGCATAACACTCAGCTAGAACAGACACAAGGGTTGTTGAGGGAGAAGAAGACAGAGAAGAGTAATTCACGCATATGTGACGAGCTTTGCAATTTGAATTTTCATCTCCCTCCAGCAGAAGTCTTACTAGATTCCAGTATTTGCTGAGAACTTCATAAGAAATCATCAAGATCAAGGCATTTGTTTCTAGAGGTTATTTATGAGCTAATTATGGCATGGTCTTCAGTACTCGTGTTCCAAAAACTGCTATGTCTAGCGTCTTGGGCCGCTGTCAGCCTTCTTAGCTCTACAGAATCAAATCAATAGGATTTTCCTTCAGTAGAAATAGTGTTAGGAGCCACCAGGTGGCAGTGGAGAAAGGAGAGAGGGACAGAGAGAGAGAAGGATCGAAGGAGAGGAGAGATCTTGTGCTTTGCTTTGTTCAACTTTTAAAACAGATTATGATTATATATTTCTTATATAATCAGGAAAAATAAGACAAATTGGTTGACTTGATTAAAAAAAAAGAGGATGTTATATACTCAAACTTCCTCTTTTAGAAAATTTTTACATATCCCAGAATTTCAAATGAAGCCTGCGAGCATGTGCTTGTTTCCTATTTTCAATGCCTTTCTTTCAGTTTCTCAAGTCAGGAACTTCTGAGTTGTTTCTCACTTTCTCTCGTTTCCTTAATTGTTATTACCCAATTAATCTTTGCCTCTTCCTGTTGTTACAGATTTTCTCAGATACATTCAGAGGCTTCTCAACAATTACAGCAGGAGATCAAGCTCTTCAAGCCCATATTCAGAGCTCGGACACCTCAGGCCAACCCACCACCCATAAGCAGAGAATCATACGTTGTACACTGAAAGTGCATAAGAAAGCAGAGCAGTAATTCTATCCTAATTTTAATTCCCATCTACCATCTACTACTGACAGAACTGCTCGCTTCCAGTATTGTCAAATTATGGACTTAACTAATTTTTAGTATAATAATGGGTATAAAACATAGGGATAAAATATATAAATGTAAAAAATATTTTAAATCCATCATTGATTTATAGACAACAGATGTTTTTACTAAATTATGAATATACAAATTTATATACATAGAAATATGAGTTAATCACCCTAGGATCATTTTTATGAGTACTTGATCTCACTACATGTAACAAGTCTCCAGCAAGTAAGCCCTTTAAAGCCTATAAGCCCTCAAGGTTTAAAGTTATTAAAATTTCAGTGTCAACTCAACATTTAAAGATAGAGCCATGGTATAAGATGGTTCATCCTCCCATAACAAGAATCAGCTTCTTATTCTTCTGAATAACCTAGTTGAATTCATTTATACTGAGGAAACAAACCCACCGACTAAATACCTCATGTTGACAGCAAGAAAAATTTCATGTTGCATATATAGAATTTAAGGATTCAAAATTACTTATTATATCATTTGAACTTCACATATCATATGAGACTGACAAAGAATATGATTTCTATTTTATAGAAATGAGAACTTAATTTCAGTAGAAATAAGGTATTTATGCAGGATGACATAACTAAGGAAGTAAGAGAAATATGACCTACATTGGTTCTCCAGGCCCTGGTTACACATATAATCTGGACAAACTTTGACCTAATCTACATTTTCTGTCATGAACTGGAGATACACATAGACACACACATCGCTAGACACAGTTCCTTGTGCCTGTAGTACTTCAGCATAACGAAAACCATTTTAATAAATGCTTTGAAGGAAAAGGTATAAGTTAAAGCTTAGGGGTGTGGATCTGTAACCCCAGTACTCTGAGAAACTGAGGTAGGAAAATTACAAATTTGAGGCCAACCTGTACAATTCAGAGATTTAGGGAGATCCTGACTCAAAATAAAAACTAAAAGTTTG